AGGATCGGAGTTGAGTGAGAGAGCGGAAAGCGAAATCACTCGGAAATTCCTTCGAGAGAGACGACCGGACGCGACTTTTCACGAGAATCACACGTGTATACACTCACGTATATACATTCGCACGAACGCGCATGGTACCGCGCATAATAATTAGGCCAGCATTAAAACGCGAATTAAAAAAAACGGAGTCACTAATTAAAGCTCGACGATCGAGCGAGACGATCTGCACGTCTTTGGCAAATCGGCGGCGAATCGGTTCGAGTACGGAAGCGAAAGTAATGAAAAAAATGATCGTTTATGTCCCGGGCAGAATGCCAACTCACGTTGGTCCCTACGGCGCCGCTCGTTACCCGGGCACCCTGCTAGGAGCTGTCCCGGGTTTTTATAGCCCGGTACCCAGCTACTCCACCAGCCCGGTCTCGAGCTACTACGGGAGCCTCCAGCACCAACCACCGCTGGACCTTCCGGTTTGGCCGCGGAGGATGCCGGCCGAGGAGGAACTGGGGGCCTCGCCGGCCGCCAGTCTGACCGGGCTGGGGGTGTCCCCGGGTGTCGGCGGGCCCCCGAGTCCGGCGCACAGCGACTCGGACGCGTCCAGCTCGAGCTTGGAACTGGGTACCATCAGGACCGGCGAAAACGCTCAACTAAAATGCAGGTAAAGAAAAAAACATGAAAGAAAACGTTAAACATTTGTTACTTGGACGATTCTTGTGCAACGAGACGTAATATAAAAATTATCGAAGACTTATTAAATATATAATATAGTATTTAAATGATATAGATTAAGTATACATATAGCTAAAAGTTATATGAATTATATATTCTTTAAATATCTTTCGAGAAGTCACATAGATCGCTGGATCGACCGATTGGCTCGGGCATTACTTGTCGGCGAGTACACTGCACTCATTGTCGGTATCATTATTGTATTGTTAGAAGACCAATTAAGATAGGAGTGAGAAAGATAAAGTCACTCACCGTATTATTTTAAAGAAATTTAATATCTTCGTTAAGCGTCACCGCGGGAAAAGTCGATACTTCTGCTTTCAGCTAGATTAGCTTATTCGAATCGCATCAAACTCAGCGTTAGCACTTGTTTACAGTTTAGAACGTATAAAGATAGCATCCCACTCTCCGGTTTCGCGAGATATACGAAATCACGAGATATCTAAATGCAACACAGATTTCTTGTATCGGTCGGTATACGTGAATCCTGATTGACGTCGACTTCTCTTATCGCAAGATAAGCGATGTAATCCTATCGAGCTTTTCTATTTATCTTTCCTTTTCGTACAAATTTATCCGAACCAATTATTTTATCTTAATCCCCGCTCGCATTTTTCTTCCACCTGCTTATCTTATCTCTCTCTCTCACCTACGTACTAATTAATATTTTTCAACGTACACTTTTCTAACGACGTACGTACAACTTTATCTGATACATCTATTAGAAAATGAAACGGCAATAAGGCAATGCGCGCTTTACGCATCTCGTCCCTCTCTATATATTGTTCATCAAGAAATTACCACACTAATGCACTCGAGACAATCAAACGTCGTCGTCTCACTTCCGTTTGCGCTTTGTCGTAGACATTTTGTATTCCTTCTAAACGACGCTAATTTATCTCCCTCGATATAGATGTGCGGATATGTCCATGCGCGCTTACACGTGCCAGTTATATACATACCAGTTACAACCAGTTTTCCGTATCTCTCGGCTGATACCGCCGGAGATCTATACTGACTTCCTCGGATACCCGGAGAAAATTCTGTAATTCATCTCGACAAGTGCATCTACCCAACATCTACCTAGTCTCGGAACGTCCGAGATTAAGAGCTCGACTCGCGGACTCGTTTTCTTCCTCGCGCGCGTTTTTTGCGGGAATTCAAATCTATCCGGCGCGCTTTCTCCAGGGACAGCTTCCCCTCGCGGGACGAGAGGGATCTGTATCTCTAATGGTAAACAGGTTTGCGACCGGCTCGGTTTATATTCAAAGTCTACGCGCTCTTGATAAAATTTAGACTCGATACAAGGCGAAACGATAACGATTGCCTTCGGATAACGAGGGGGAAGAAGGCAACTGGTTGATTTCGTAAAACGATGAATCACACTGACCGCTGCGTGCTACATGTTTAAAACAGATTTTCGTTACAATTATAATTTATATTACACGTATATGCACGATACAGCGAATTCCAAAGCATCATTGGCTTCTATGTATCGTGATGCGAATAAAAGTAGTAAAGAGGGTCTTCTTATTATCGCGCGCAGTTTCGGAGAACGCGATTATCACAAAGAAATTATTTCTTACATGCGACGGACACGTGAAAGCCCGAGCGCTCACTGTGATCACAGTGAATATCACATTCTTTGCTATCAAAACACTTGTCCGTTTCATCAACCATATATCTCTAAATATAGCTTCTTTTATTAAACGCGATCGATCTACAATCTTAATTAATGGAAAATGTGGTTGATCAGAGACTTATATGTACACAGAAAAAAAGAAGTGTCAAATCAAAACTTATAATTGCAACAACCTATATTCCTCTTATAAAAATTTCAACTTCTTTTTCTTGATTGAACTATATGTTTAAAACTATATAAATGACTTTATTCAAGCAAGTTTTCTTCGTTTAACACAATATAATTTTATTTCAAGATTAGTGATTGTTAAGTATATTATAAGTTATGATTTGATTCTTTTTTTTTTCTGTGTATAATAGCACATTATTTTGAGGTCATATTATGTAACGCTGGGTGTTAATTTGTAATGGCTATAATATTAGATACATATCCCGCGAAGATATATTTTATAGTTTGTACAATTCCTACTATTAATCAAATAAATGAAGATAAGAGTCGTCGCAGGTGTTTGGCCAATCAAATCGTTCAAGATTACCTTGATCCACGACCTCCTGTGAGCATATCCGTGCTTCTTAAATTGGAAGAATTTGTTTTCGTTGACTGGAATAGTACCGAAGACTCCAGTCTCTCTCTTGCGATAAACTGGTGTCAAACGGCGGCAATTGCAAAATGGCCGCAATTGGTATCAATTGAACGAGCCAGCGAGCGTTCATGTGATGCAAATTATATTTCGATACTTCAGAGCAGCGTCAGGCGGCTATATTTACATATCAGTCTCTATTGAACTCGCAATTTCGCAAAGCTAAAACAAAAAATAAAACAAATCGAACAATAAAGTTTGTTACGTTTTTCTTAACGGTACATATGTTGAAAAAATTAAATTTGTATTGTCCTCCTTTTACAGATGGCAAGACTGTGGCCGATGGTTCACGTCCCTAGAGCAACTTGCAGGACACGTTGGGAGATTGCACGCGGCGCCCGGTCCACGGGGTCTGTTTTATTGCGGATGGGAGGGATGCGCGAGAGGCGAGCGTGGGTTTAACGCGAGGTAAAACTCCTCCGGATGTAATATTATGCGCGCGTAACACAGAAATCACTTTTCTTAACAAACACTCTCGTGTCTCTTTCATGCAGGTACAAGATGCTGGTCCATGTACGAACACATACGAACGAGAAGCCGCACCATTGCTTCCAGTGCGACAAGAGCTTCAGCAGAGCTGAAAACCTGAAGATCCACGCGCGCTCTCACACCGGCGAGCGTCCGTACGTCTGTCCCGTCGAGGGTTGCAATAAGGCTTACTCGAATTCTTCGGACAGATTCAAGCATACTAGAACTCACGCTGTAGATAAGCCATATTACTGCAAGGTGCCGGGCTGCCCGAAGAGGTATACCGATCCGTCGTCCTTGAGGAAGCACGTTAAAACCTACCGCCACTACGTGAACAACAACGACAAGGTCCAGGAGAAGAGCTTCGACGACAGCAACGTTCAGGAGAAAATGAGATTTGACGTTAATTCGCCCGACAAGCAGAGCAGTAGCGCGCATTCCGAGTCGGACAAGAAGGACTCTAGTATCGAGAGCAGCGTGTCGGGCTGCAGCCCGAAGACCAGCAACAGCTTCGAAGAGCAGAGAAACTTCGTCGAGTGGAACAACTTGTATAATCTTCAGGAACAGCGGAAGGAACAGGAGCAGGTTACCCCGCCGAAACCTACGTACGAGCAGGACGTGAAGATCTATCCGAGGATGTACGATGACAATTACATCATACCGGACAGAATTCAGGTGAATCCCATGTACGCCTCCGGTACCACCATTATCAAGGACTGCTCCGTAGCGTCGCCGCCTCATACGAGTCCGGGTCGAGTGTCCGACACAATGCCGCGCATCGGGATGCAGTCGACGCCCATCAAGACCGAGGAGTCGATGGAGTACACCAAGACCGCCACAGTGGACTACAGGAACATCGAGTCGATCGTCAACAGTACGCCCTGCAAAAAGGAGAGCACGGTTAGTTGCGATCCAGTAAGACATTCGGTGATCAAGCGGGCGGAGGATCTGAAGATGGAGGTGGAGCAGATGCCGCTCAAAGAGGAATTGAAGGATACCAGCGACGACTGCTGCTGCCGGCACAAGTGTTGCGTGCATAGCAACGACAGCATCCTGCAGAAGACCAAGATCCTGTCGGATCTCCTTATTAAGGCGCAGAACCCGCTCTTCCGACATCTATTGAGCTCGGTGGATTTGCACGGGCTAGAGAACATGTGGAGCAACATCGTGGATACGAGTAACACATGCGGCCAAGACCTCAGAGTAAAGAACGAGACCGTCACCGAGATGGAGCAAGACCTGCCGTTGGACTTGACGATTAACAAATAACGAACAAAATTGGCTGTCAACATATAAACCAAAAAGTAGTAGTCGTGTCAATACGAATTTTATCTCATCATTTTTAACAAGATCCAAATCAAACAAAACGCTACGAATCTTAAATGCAGTCAATCGATATGATAATTAACTGAACGACAAAGAATAATTATAATTTATCATGAATGAAAAGTTTCAATCGCATTGCGAAACCAAATATATTTTAATACCTTATAATGTGAAAAAGATGACGAGATAGGAGCAATCCATGATTGGACAAGAATTTGCTCAATCCATAGCTATTTAAAAATGATTGCACTAATCGAAGGTAACCATTAATCAAAGGTAATCGAAGCTTACCGGTGCAACTCGACAATTTAAACAATTTGATCGATTACTTGGAGACGATGTTTCCACTTTCGAATTGGCTACTAAAATCGGATAGCTGAAACAATAATGGAAGTTAAACTGAGAACTTATTATAAGACTGTAAATATATCTGAAAAGTACGTACAGAAATGTGAAATAATTGGCTTCTGCCCCGTAATTTATCTATTAGAATTGAATTTCAAGAGTTATAGTTTTTATAAAGTAAGACGCTTAACAATCATATCTCAGTACTCAATGTAAACAAAACATATGTATCATATGTATATAGAAATTTATATGTATGTATATGTATGTGTGGCGAGTCAATTGATAAATGAAGTAATATAGAGTAAAGTGCCCAGAGAACATTAAGACATCTTATAGACCGTCTAAAAGACATCCCTAAAATTCCCGAGACGTCTTATAAAATTGTTAAAAAAGAATCTTATAACATCTTTAAAACGTTTCATATTCCGATGACGATTAGAACGTTGTTTTAAAATGTCTTTGAGATGTCTTATTTTCATTTTTAGATACATTGCAAAGCAAACATTAATAATACAAAAGTGCGTTAACAAGAAAAAGATGCAAAAGAAAAACTCATTGCTTTATATATAAATAATTTAATATTTACATATATTATAATTTTGTTAACGATTTATCTCCTATTTCACACATATATATGTATGTATATATGTACATATATATGTACTACGGTATTCATAGTCGGATCTTATATTTAAGATCTTATGAACCAATCACACACAGAGTATTAGCATCTTAAGACAGTCTTGAAATAAAATCCAACTATGAATGCGGACCTATATATGCTCATATATATTTATGTATATGCATATATAATACATATATATGTATATAAATATATTATATTTGTTATAACATATATAAAGATATATATGTATTATAATAGATGCAGGCCAGTTTTTGTCATTAGCAAAGAATGTAAGTATTAAATTATTGATATACTAATTACTTATCAAGTAATTCCAGTTTTTCTTTCATATTCTTCTTTTTATTAACGCCTTTCCGAAAAGCTTTGCCTTTGTGTCGTTATAACATCGACTAATACAAAGTATTGGAGTGTCAGATTTTAAGTAACAGTAAAATTTTTATAAGCTATATTATATCCACATTGGCCATATGTCATATATTCTAATCAATAAATATTATAATCGGTAATGTGTAAATAGTTGTACACGCTCCAAAAAATGTAAAAAATAATATTTAGCCATCTTTTCAAAGTTTTTAAAACGTCTTTTAAACACACGTGTTGTCTGAGGTGCCTTTCTCTGTTAGCAGAACATGTTTAACGATGTGAATAAATAAAAAAAAAATATTTATGTGTTGTTTTCCCCTCCCTTCGCAGTAAATTGTTTGCGTAATATAATCATAGCTGCTTGTAGTGTAATTAATATAAGTGCACATGATGATATTAGATATTTGTAAATTTTATAAAGTTAAAGAATTTATGCACGTGAAAAGTTAATAAAAGATGTTTGCAAAAAAAAATGTCGATATGGGAGTATTAATGATTAAATGCGCGCACACGCACGGTAATATTAATTTAATTACTTTTTATTTCTAAAACTAGCGTATGGCTCAACTAAACATGGTTTGTATCATAAATTCAATATTAATGTGAAATTAGATCGCGTATCAAGCTAAGTGTCAAAACTATTAAACTTTTTTAAAAAACAACGAATTGTAGTGATATAAAACTGAACGCGAATACAATTCAAACAAAAAATTATGTAAATTAATTAACAAGTTAAACATAAAATACACAGTTGCGTCTTAAACAGAATGAAATTAAAATACGGGAACAAGTACGTATAAAACGAAAGAAATTATGAAATTAAACGCAGTTCTATCATCTGTGAATAATTAAGTACAAATGTATGTTCATCAGAATGACTTTTGGACTCATCATCTGAGACGGAGAACTTTCCCAGTGGCACTTGGACTTCATGTCTACCACCTGTAAATAATACGGAGTTATTGAATATAGTTGCAATATAGTTGAAAATATACCTACAGAGTATCTGAAGAGTATAATTTCCAGACTGTGCGCAAGAGCCTACTACTTCAGCAATAATAAAATTAGACATCTGAGGCGTGTAATCCGCGCCAATCTTTAAAGTCTGAAATTTAATGTCGTTTAGGAAAAGATACAGTTAGTTTTAATGTACAGTGTGCAATACATACTTTGAATGCAATAATGTCATTAATCTGTGGTTTTCTCGTCATGACTGGGATCCTCTCTAATGTAGTATACAAGCTTTTATAACATGGTACTTCTTTTTTAGATTCCTTGCTACATAAATTTTTTTCTATGCTATCCTCCATAACTTTATTTAAATTTTTGCTTTTTATCTCGTCATTTAACATACTTTCCGTTTTAGCTCCGTTTTTTATTTTTTTGTTTACGAATGTCATGGGCGTCGAAGTTTGTCCTAATGCTAAAAGTGTAGAAAGATCTCTAGAAGACGATGCTTTGCTTAAGGATTCATTTTTAGATACTTCTTGTACTATTTGTTTCGCTATGTCATGTTCATCATTTTCCATATTATCAAACCGTATATGTTTTCCTGACGGAATCGTATAGGAATCTATTATCTTTGGTTTTTTTGATTTTGGTTCTCTTGGTAAGTTTTCCTCAGTTGTATCAGGAGGTGTCACAACGAGCTGAGATCGATTTTTTGGCTTTCGTTTTCGTACTCGTTTCCTCTTTGCAACAATAGAATCTAACATGCTACAATCCGCTGTTAAATTGTTATCTGTGGTCTTAGAATCTGTATCATCTGCTCCACTATGATCGACCGCTGTGTCACTAATTACACTGTAGAATGTCATATCTCTCGTGATATTACCTAAAATACAAGCAATTTATCAGTAATCTCACATTATAGAATAAACATTATTTTGCTTCATGTATTTATATGCAATACAGCATAAATGAAATAAACCTACTTATGGGACTTGGTTGAGTATTATTAGAGGTGTCATTAGACATATCCTGTACAGTTATTCCTGTTTTAATATTTGTCGTCTGGACCTGCATTTCACCTATAGAACCATTGCTTGTTTCTACATTAGGAGCTTTGTCACTTATCCCCGATCCAGGAACTACTCTGGAATTAATCAGATTGTTAATCAGAGCATATAATTAACTGAATTATGTTCTATAACTAATCATATGTAATTAATTTGGGATAACGCGAGGCTCTATGTGAAAGCAGTCAACTTCGCAGATCTCGAGTTTGATCCTTCATCCCAGATGCCTTGGCATAAGAGGTTGAAAGTTAAAGAATTGTGAGTGACGGAATATAAGATGAGTTGAACTGCTGACGCGATTCTATGACATAGTTAACTAATCAAAACCAGAAATTGTCATAATCGAAGTATTAATAATAAAAGTTACAAATTGTAAAAAATATATCGATAAAATAAAACTGTACTAACAGGATTGTCTCATTCTCCTTGAGTATACGCACATCCTCGATCGGAGGCAGATATTCGGTATCGTTCAGCAACAGGTGAAACGGTTCCGCGATGTTGAACAGTTTGCTGATATGCTGCTTCATATGAATAACCTGCTGGATCTTCGTTCCGTCGACGAATACCCAGCAAAATCGACGCGCATCGTCGAAGAACTTGGACAGGTCCACCTTCAGTCGAAAATGTGGACGCTTCATCGTGACTTCCTCCACAGTTGTCATTACGGAACGTTGATCGACACGCATAAGCGACACGTGTGCCGGCATGAACAGCAATCACAAATCACAACATCACAACAACGTGATCGTCAACCGGGTCAACCCGCTCCACGGCCGGCGCTCGCAGCGTTAAGCAGCGTTGCTAGAAATGTCGCTTGTTTTCGCGCATGTGCAATGGCATTTATAGAGGCGGACGCATGCAGTGTATACAGGGTGTCCCCTTTAAAACAATACGTCGAATAAAGGCCATTGCACGTAACAAATTTTAGTTTTAATCGTAAGGCCGTAAGAAAATAGACCAATCACACTCGATTATTCTTCAAGCGCGAGAAGAATAATCGACTTGGTCTATTTTCTTACGGCCTTACGATTACAACTAAAACTTTGTTAAGTGCAATGGCCTTTACACGACTCGATTTATGCCGAAGTTATAAACATCGAATCTTATAATTACTGATGTTACAGCTCCTTGCACAATAGGCGACAGCGACAGCGACAAAAGGTTGCCGACAAAGCTATATATCTTTCGCTATGGCTATCGCCTATTGTGCAAGGGGCTTTAATGGCCGTGTTCAGCAGACACAACTGTTGAGTTCGTCTTATCAACACACTGCGTTGATTGGTTGGTTCTAAAAGTAAGAGCCAATCACGTTCGACTGCTACTCAGTGGCTTGGTCTGCTGAACGCGCCCAATGCCGTGTAAACGCCCTTTCACGACGAAGTTATCACATCGATTAAACTGATTCTGAATCAATTACAATCGAATATTATATCTTACATGTATTGATAAATATTAACTTATTTTATATATTATATATTTATATTATATATGTTAAATATAATCTTATAATTTATTTTTAGCGTTCTTTAAAATAGCATTGCTTAAATTTAAATTGTATAAAATTTCTTTTTTTATGTTTGCTTGTATTTCTATATACTAATCCATATACTAAATATTATAAAATATTAATAATATTAATAGTATTTCTATAATATAAATTTAAGGATTTAATAATAAGAAAAGATTATAAAAAATCAATGTATATTTAAAAGTCAAAATTTTCGGTATAAAATACAATTAACAGTTTCAGTAATAAATGTTGCTTGTTGTTATGTATCATTAATATCGGCATAATCCATGTTTTCCGATTAATGCAGCCGATGTGGATATCTGATAGTATTAGAGTAATTAACTTAATGAAGGTATTAATTAATAATAATATATATTACAAAAATACTTTGCACAATATATCATGTATCATTACTTTATACTTTACATTGTCGCGTTAATTTCGACATTTGTCTATATACGTCAATTTAGTAACAAATCTTCTTTTAGTAAAAACCTTCAAAAATTGTGATGCTTGTCTGTGTATCGCTTTGAAAATATCATAATCCGTAATGTTGCTAATTATTCTACCTATTCTGTCCATTTTGAAATTTTTGAAAACCTGCATTTATGTAGAGAACAATAAACATGTAGAAAAATGATTCAATTTTTATTTAATCTAAAACTAAAATTATCTCACTTTGAAGATTTAAACGGTTAATAAGATTTATAAAAAGTAATTTTTTTATAGGTGTAAGTTATCCCTATTTTTGTATATGTTTAAATTATATCTCTAGTATTTATTGTTGCAACATGAAAAATGGTATTGCAAAATAAATTGTGTTACCTACTATCCGCATAAATTTAATTACAAAATACAAAAGTAAAAATATTAGTAATTAATAAGATTCAAGTGATAAGTAGAAATTAGCCGTAGCAAAACCTAAAATCCGTATAATTTTTATAATATAGTTTATTAACGCCCAATACATTTAAATTAACCATATAAACTATTCAAAAATAAAATATGTGTGCATGTGTGCGTACGTGTGTGTGACAAGTAATCTCAAAGTACTTGGTGCATTTCTGCATTACTCCTTTAATCGCATTAATATTTATAAAAAGTGATCAGAAGAGTAGAAAATCTAATAGAGAAATAATTACTTAAAATGGTATAATAATGCATACCCTTCAACAACGCCTACTTTCTCTTCTCAAATCTATAAATGTATCCATATCCATCTTCGATTTCATCAATTGAAGATTCACTCAGTTGAAGTCTCATAGAATCTTCATCAGATTCTGAGCTTAAATAGGACCTGCAGTTACACAAGAAGTGATTAAAAAAATAAAAAATGTAATAAAGGAATTAATATTTAAAATAATATAGACTCGTGTATTACTCGTCAATAACGCCTGTTCTCTTTTTCCTCAAATCTGATATTTTTGCTTCTGTCTCTGATTTTATTAAAGCCTCTGTCAGATTCTGAGCTTGAATGGGACTTGCAAATTATACAAAGAGTTATTACAAAAGTAGAAAATGAATTACAATGGTTAATATATCAAGTGCTACGTGCCATTAACATTTAAAGTACATACGTTTTTTCGGTACTTTTTAAGTGCGTACGTGGGTCTGTTACGTTCAACGCTATTTTTCCCTAAAGTATGTTCCCTTAAAGTATTTCAAAAAATCTAAAAAACTTCATAAAACATCTGTCTACATTGTAGTTAACGATTCTATAGTCATTTTGATAAACATTGTTTATTTAATATCTTCTGACAAACTTGTAAGTTTTACAGTTACGAGAAAATATCATTTTGGCTTGGACACTGTAAACTCACGTATGCACCTTAAAAGTTAAGCATATTATTCAATTATTAGGCCAAAACATTTATTTTTAGAATTTAAATTCTTTCAATGAGTATTATCAATACTTAAATTTAGTGTATTTCCAGTATAATATTTACATTTATAATATATAAGTTTCTATTTATATTTGCACATTGTACACGTAAAAATAAGTTTCTATAACTTATTATTGTTGAAAGATAAGATATACTGTACATTGTACAATGCAAATCACTTAATGTTTTTTCCTTATTTTATCGTAAAATACGAAAATAAATATTTACTTTAGAAAACGCTAATAATATAATAAATTTACAAAGTATGTAGAGGAGACCGGGGCTAGACCGCTAACGGGGTAAATCCGCAAAATCAAATATCTCGGAACCTGTATATTGTGAACTCGCTATTAACATTGTAAACGCTGCTTATGGTACCCATGACCAACGGAGTTTCGGCAGGTTATCTGCCGTGTTATGATTTTTACGAGGGCAAACGTGTTTTTGGAAGGTAAAAGTGAAATTTTCTGCGCGTGGAAATATTGTAATATCTGCAATAATATTTGCTCTCCGAGGTACGTGATTATAAAGAGTAATGCATGCTGAACACGAATCCAGTGTAGTTTTTTCATTATCGTTAATGTCTAATATTTCGTGGGCGATCAAACCTGAAACTTATGTTTGGGGCTTATCGCGCGTGGATATAGAGCGGAATAAACTAAATAAAAAAGTTCTCTAACAGTTTTGTTCCTTTCACAATAATTAATGAGAAATTAAAATAAAGATCTAGGAATAGTCGGCAAATTGGATCCGTAACTTCTCAACCTACATGCGCATGCATCGCCGCAATTCAATGGCGAATGTAAATGCGTTGGGAGGAAGAATCAAGTTTCAGCCTTACGTGCCGATGTCGCAAATTTTACGTACGGGGTAAGGCCAATGCCAGGCCAATGTAGAAGAGCGCTTTTACCATGGGTCATTGACTGTTTAGGGTAATCCAGAATGTTTAGGTTGATTCAACTAGTATCATGTGACAGTTATTTCGTTGTTTATACTTCGTATCTAGGTGGTAGTCATCAAATTAAGTCCGTAGTCTCGAAACGCACGTGACATAAATGATTTTCGTGATGCGTAAATAACTTTTTAACTATTTAGAAATGTTTTAATATTGTTTTTGTAGTAAAATATACACTTACTAAAAAAATTAGGTGTAACTTTCTAGCATCTTTTGTTATTTTTTACTACTCTACAGATAATCATATGTATCATTTATTCTTTTTATTACGTTTCACCGTTTTCTATATTAAGTGCATTCGATTCGGGGCATCATGGGACACCCAATGCTGCGGCACCATGGATCACACACGCCACCAAGGTTGATGATAGATTAATGATATATGTTATTTTTGATTGACGAAAACATATCAGAAGTTAGTTTTTCTTCAAAAAAATGATATTTCAGTAGTGGGTTTTGATATCTTTGTTTGTTCTACCCTATCCTGAACAGTGTCTTAAGAAAACGTATAAAATATAATTTCCTTTCAACTTTTGTAACTTTTCGTTATTTCTTAAATAAATAAACCTAGTTTTTGTGTGTGACTTATATAGTACAGTGCTCCAGTGACAGACCCATATATGGTGTCCCGGGTACGGGGCACCTTGGGTCATTTCTCAAAAAATGTGTTTTAATTTTTTCTCAAAAACTAATCAATATTTGCCAAATACACTAAATAAATTTTAAAATATACATAGTGCTTTAATTATTTTAAAAAATTAGAAAAAAATCTTATATTTAAAAGTACTCTTCAATTTTTGAATTTTTGTGATGGCTTATAGTGGCCCGGTCTCCCCTATATATGTAGGTACATATGTGTATATACAATATAATAATGATATAAATATAAGTAAAATTATAATATAAAGAATTGTATATAGTTTCTTGGATATCTATGGATTTGATAGAGATTGGTAAATCACAAAAAAAAGATTGACCGCACAAATAAATGTTCCGTAGCGGCACATCAGACGCCAATATTGTTTGCATAAATGCAATTTACGTTGATAAATTATAGTATTTTACTTTATATTTAATTTGTAATATATATTTAATTTTATTACGGTTAATAATTTAAGCATAGCGTATATAATTACCCGTCACTTTCCTTTATTTCTTCTTCCTGTCGTCCAAGTAGCTGTGTGCTTGTTTGTATTGTACTTTCGTTTTGTGGCTCATTCAAGTGAAAATCGTTGTCTCTCATTGAGCTTGAAGAAGTCGGTGCAGGTCTGTATTTAAATATGACAACTTTGTTTAATCAAGTAGAAAAAGCAATAGAGTAAATATTTATTTGCATGCGCTTTTTATATATTTGTCAAAATATGTAGAAAATTGATTTTGTACTTTTTCTCGAGGAATTATACAATAACCCAAAACCACACACATTGTTGTTTCAGTCATAATTGCATATAAATATTACATATATATATGTATGTGCCGTGATAAAAACCGGAATATTTATATTTCTATTTATTTATTATTTCATTATTGTACCTGCTTTATGTTCATACGTTTTAATATTTTATACGTTTTTGGCTGAACTTACTTACAAGTACGCAAGTGTTTCTCGAAATAATAATGTTTTATAATTTTCTGACACGTTTTGCATTTCGCATCCCTGCCATTTACGTCAAACTTGTTCCATATGTTCGACTTTCTTATCACATTTCTATGAATAAAATTACATTTATCAGAGTGATCAATTCTCAAATGTTTTATTAAAACGTGCACTTAAAAATTATTAATATTTTGTACTAATTGCATGTCGCTGTTTGTCTTGATTTATGATACTTTGTAATTTTCTAGTATGTTGTCAGGTTTTCGAATATTTGTCTAATTTTGTTATGTTATGTATGTCCATAAGTATAATATTTTAATTCTTGCTTTTTGGACCACGATTAGAGAAAAATTTTTATAAATATAATATTTGTGCCATGATGAAAACCGGCCTATTTATATTTTCATTTATTTATTATTTTATTACTGTACCTACTTTATATTCATCAATAATTTATACGTTTTTAGATGAATACTTACTCACAATATCCCAAGTGTTTCTTTAAATAATAAGTATTATTGTAATGTTTTGTAACCTTCTGACATGTTTTGCATTTCGCATCCCTGCCATTTACATCAAACTTGTTCCATATGTTCGACCTTTTTATCACATTTCTATGAATAAAATTATAATACATTTATCAGAGTGATCAATTCTCAAATGTTTTATTAAAACGTACACTTGAAAATTATTAATGTTTTGTACTAATTGCATGTCGCTGTTTGTCTTGATTTATGATACTTTGTAATTTTCTAGTATGTTGTCAGGTTTTTGAATATTTGTCTAATTCTGTTATGTTATGTATGTCCATAAGTAATATTTTAATTCTTGCTTTTTGGACCACGATTAGAGAAAACTTTTTACAAATATGATATTTGTGCCATGATGGAAGACCGGCCTATTTATATTTCCATTTATTTATTATTTTATTACTGTACCTACTTTATATTCATCATAATTTATACGTTTTTAGATGAATACTTACTCACAAGCTCGCAAGTGACTCCGTAAATGACAAGTCATATTGTTATGTTTTATAACCTTCTGACACGTTTTGCATTTCGCATCCCTGCCATTTACGTCAAACTTGTTCCATACGTCAACTCTTTTTTTAACATCTCTCGCATTAATAGAGTGCCATTTATCAGGGTGAGTACATTTTAAATGCCATATTAACATGTTTGGCTTATCCCGTTTAAATTTTATTTTTCTGTTGCAATGATTGCATGTTCCTTCGTATTTTGATACTAATACGTAATTCTGTAGTATAAAGCCACGTTTTGGATGTGCGTCTAGTTTGGTTATGTTATGTATATCGCATAAGTGATCTTTTAACTTTTTCTCTCGATCGGGATAAGAAAAAACTTCTTCACAACTTACACTTACATTACACTTTACTGAATCAGAATTTTCTTCTAATGTATAATATTTTGCCAACCATCTTTGTCCCCTCATTTTAACCGTTCTGTAGGTATCGCAAAACGCTTGACACTAAATGTGATCACTTGATGTAATTATTTGAAGAAGAGTTTACAAAATTACTCGTAGAAGATCGAAAAGAGAAATATGATTCCTCTTTCCACACAAAACAAAACTCAATAAATATATACCTTCCAAAGACTTTTTCAAAGCGTTTAAAAATATAAATCTCACAACACGACGATTCAAGTGTGTTATTTTTACAAATATGAAGAATTTGATGACTCAACTGTTTGCGATAATTTGCGCAACTGTTTGTCCGTTTTACGCGGACAATTCGTAAAGCCACGGAAACATTTGTTTTATCCTTAATCTGGTTATTAATAGATTTGTCTAAGTCGGAGCGAATACTCTTCCCATCTTGCGAAATTTATTATCTCCGTTCGAGACAGAGCGTTCATCTCGACGCACAGCTACCGATAACGTCAGTAGTAATATTTAGTCGTCAATTCATGACATTCTACAGGTTCATTTCCGCTCGCTACTTTTTTCATGTATTGGACAAGGTGGTCAGCACATTCTAATATACATCTTTAATTTACCAGATGTAAAAACAGGTGACACATTTATTTTATTCTCAGAGCGGTCGTTATCTTTTCAGTTTCAAAGCGAAAAGATTTTGCGACAGCGACTCGGCCTGTGCAAAGATAGAAATAAAATAAATTTAACTCAAAATTATAAATTCTACCATAACTTACTGACTTGTTTAAGGCTTTGGGAGGCAAAATGTCATGAGTTTTCAGGGTCCATATCCCTCAGTAGGTCCAAAAAAAAGGTGATTTTTGTGAATTTTTTGTGGAGAAAGTAAACAAAATAAATTATTCAATATTTTTGGATTATATTTATGATATTTTTAAGTAGTTATACAAATTTTTTCAGCCCATTTGGCGAAGCGGGATACTGGGCAACGGCGATCTGTGCGCGGAATATGTTGCTCCATGGCGGAAGTCCTCCAGGTCGTAAAATGTTTCTGAAACATCGAATTAATCGATTTTCCTGTTCAGTACAAGTGTCCCTACAGAGTAGACTACAATCATATCGATATATGCAATATTTAATTTTTTATAAGCAAAAAAGTATCGAAAATTTATAGTAAAAATTAATTTTTCTTTTTGAACTGCCGTTATTTTATGAATTTTTATTCAAAATAATTTTTTTTAGTCTACTCTATAGGGACACTTGTACTGAACAGGAAAATCGATTGATTCGATGTTTCAGACACATTTTACGACCTGGAGGACTTCCGCCATGGAGCAATACCTATTCCGCGCGTTGCCCGGTATCCCGCTTCGCCAAATTATTTAAATGGGCTGAAAAAATTTGTATAACTACTTAAAAGTATCATAATTATAATCCAAAAATATTGAATGATTCATTTGGTTCACTTTCTCCACAAAAAATTCACAAAAATCACCTATTTTTTAGACCTACTGAGGTAGGGGAGAGGAGGCTACCTTGTGACACAGGCAACAGTGTTACATTGCGATTATTTTGCGATGTGTACGTTTTATGTGCAATTTTATCTGTGGTTATGCTTTATTTATGTGTAACTGAGATCATAATAATCTGAAAGAGGGATTAACACAAGAAGTAAAAAAAATACAGGTAAGAATCTCTTTCGACCATACTTAAAAAAATATTTTGTCTCCTAAACTTTTTGTAATATTTATCGCTGCGGTGCGTATAACCTAAGTATGTACGCATGTATTTGTAGATTAGTTCGTTGCAAAACGTATTATATGCATTATAAAACAATTATAAGTCATTAAATATATAAATTTTGCAATAAATGTGTCCAGTGTTGTGTGGGGTACCTTGTGACATAGGCTAGACATACAGCAAATAGGTTATAGCGTGATCTATATGTGTGGTCTATTTTGGTATTCTGCAGATTATAAGAAGATTGAATGTCTTTTCAAGATGGACAAAACGTCAAATGCAGAAAAAAAAACAAAATTAGCACAGTTAAGGTGGACGAGGCGACAATGAAAGCTGCAGCGCTGTTTCAAGTCGTCAAAGGAAATCAAAGCATTCGAAGCACAGCAAAATCTTTCAATATCAATCACATGACACTAACAATAAGTCGCTGGGTCACTAAATATAAAGAGGCCACCGAAGAGCACACTTTATTCTGCCTGTCACACAATACCCCATCAGTTGGGTAAAGTGTGACATTTTCCATATTTTCATTACATTAAGTTATTTACAGATTACAATATTTTTTTATTCATACTAATACGTCTATTTCATTCCTAAAGGTTCAATATAAATTCCAATAAAGTTATTTTTTACAAATTCCACGCTAAAAACAAAAATTTATTGCTCCAAAAAAAAAGTGTCACAAGGTAGCCTGGTCTCCCCTATATGGACCCTTAATAAATTGTTAAAGAGATGCACACAGTGTACGTCTGATTTTTATGTATTCTTCGAATGCACTTATATAATAACTTTAAGTATTCTCACCTTTTCGGAAATGGGAGAGCCTCTATTACCGAAAATGAAGAAATCTTTGATAGGGACATCCTTTATTAAATCCAGATCATTTACAATAAGAATTGGTGTCTTTCTAGCAATTCTATTCCAAATATTGTGTATGCACGCCGGTCGTCCTGATAGTGGAAAAATTTTACATTCTGGACCACTTATTTTTTGAATAATGACGTAAGTAGAAGTCGAGGTAGAAGTATATATATAGTCAACACTTTCTCTTTATAAGTATACCACTCTATACTTTACTACAATGTCACGAGGAATGTGGCGCGTGTGGCCATGGTACGACTACTCCGAGTCTCAGTCAAATTCGCTCCGATTCGAGTCGAAAAGAATATAGAGGGGGAAACGATGGCACAGGGCCGTACAATATTACACGAGATCTAGACATATGTGTTAAAATAACTTTAAGACGTGTTCATTTTTTAAAGTAATTATGTTAAAAGAACTCAAAATAATATTTAATTTCTAAATGACATATATGTATAAAGTGTTAAGTTATCACGTTGACATAAATGTAACACATAAAAATGTTAAGAAAATAACAACATAGCTGTTGTACGTTAATTTTTACATTGAAATAATAATCAAATCTTGGTAACACATAAAAATTTTAATATATGAACTGCAATGTGCACACGATTTTTTACTGTGTAAAATCTTTAAAATTACCGTGGTAATTGTATAATTCGGTATCGGCCGTGAATCAGGAACATTACGTGACTTCTAAAAGTCAAAAGTTGATGTGAGGTACTAATAAAGAGTAAGAATTATGACGACTATGCCACAGAATTTCGATGATTTCCATTGTCCAGCAATCTTCAATTTGCTGTCACTGATAATTTTTACTAATGAAAAAAAAAATTAACAATTTGTTATATAAACCTTCGTCTTGTTGTAGTTATTAAGTTTTATGAAATTTAATTAAAATATGCTTCTTTAACAAAATATGAGTTTAAATTACATTTGATGAATATTAATCTTAACCTTAAAGTGCATAAGTGGATTTACGGTGTCCGAACCAAAGTTGTATCTGCTCGTAACTGTAAAACAAGCAAGCCTGTCAGAAGATATGAAATAAACTATGTTTATCAAAATGACTATAAAATCGTCAACTACAACGTAGACAGATGTTTCATGAATTTTTTAAAATAGATTTTTTAAAATAATTTTCCGGCAAAAAAGAATTAAGTATGTTATAGTCAAAACTCTCTAAACGCGGCATTTCTAGGATTAACCAGTCATTCTGTGAAATGATTGTCCAATCCTGCGAATTATCTAAGCGTCTTGATTTTAAGCAGTTTCTAGGAATAGGCTAGAAGTTAGATTAATTCTTTTATGCAACACGTGCATGGAAAGTGCCCTATTACGCACGCTACGCGTGCGTGATAGACCACTTTCCAGGCACTTGCAACATAAAATAGGGAGTGTAAGCCGTGTGTAAAGATGAAAATTCCCGGGTGCAGTTACCGCACTCGCCTTCGGCTCGTGCGTAAACTCCGCACCCGGGAATTTTCATCTTACCTCACTTGTTACACAAATAACTATTATGCTTTCCGTCTATTTGTGTACTGTTTGCACACATATATCAGCAATTAAATTACAGTCAGTCATTAAAAGAAAAGCGGAGAAATCTCCGTCGCAGGATTTCTCTCCGCCTCAAACGTCCCCCCCTAAGAAACCATATAAATTTGTTCCGACGAGTAAATTCGTTAGCCCACACCCCATAAGGGTCGTGCACGTAAGAAGTCAACATATTTGATTTTGGACTCACCTAAGGGCAGAGACACTAGGATCACGCAAAAGGCTACCAGCGAGCTAAAGGAGTGGGAAACCGATGAACTGGCTGAGTACGTGGGTGACTGTCTCTCCAGATCCGTACTCGCGCTTAATAAATGTTCTAATATCCAAAATATGCTTAGAAACCACTTGGAGGCTGGTCTTTTAAATGTTTCTAGGATTACTAAGATTCTGGTGGATCGGCTGGCTGAATCTGGAGATACCGCATCTTTCAAAGTCTAAAACACCAATCTGGCGGCCTCAAGAAGGATGAGGAAATTCACAAACGCGAACTTTCGCTAAGAGAAGAAGAAAACAGAAAGTTAAAGAAAGATCTGGAAAATTTTAGCAAAGAACTCAAGAGAAGGGGACAACATCTCCCTAATCCAGAAGTAAATCCAAAAAATTCGGACAAAAATGAGGGGAAACAAGACAAACCTTCGGAACTCCAACTCGGACAACCTTCACTTCCTAAAAGAGAGCCGAAGCCTAGAATAATTCTACAACAGAGACTAATAGACAGAGTTGTCAGGACAGACTCCAAGTCTGATTTGGAAACGGAGAGTGCGGAAGATAACAACACTCCGGTTCCAGAAACCCTTCTTGGAAATAGGCAGCTACATAAGAATTGCAAATCGACAACTCAGTTTAAATTCCCGTCCCTTCGCGTCGAGGAAATCGCTGATGATTCTGGTTCTGCTAAAAAAATAAGAGCTATGAACGAGCAGATAGCGCAAATAGTAGCTCGTCAGGAGAAGCTCTGCGCAATGCTCGCAGCTCACTCCGATGAACCGCCGGACAGAACAGCACACTGAGAAAGAATAAGAAACCAAGGAAAACCCCTCTCAGAAACGAGATCTCAGAGATCTCTGGGACACCAGATGGAGAGGTCGTGGGTCTGCGTACACCTACTGCACCTCTATCTGGAGATAACGGGTGAAGTAGACGACCACTTATGAATGATACAAAAGAAGCTGATACTGCGAAAAGGAGACCTCGTGAAATCCTTCGTCCTCGCAGACCTCCTAGGACAGCGGCGGTATCTATCACCAGTTCACCAGCTTAAAGTCTGACACCACCTATGCGGACATAATAAAGCAAGCGAGGGAAAAAATAAATCTGGACACACTTGGCATTGAAACCTCTAAGATTAGAAGAGGAATTAACGGAGGGGTAATAATAGAAATTCCGGGCACGGACGGAACGACCAAGGCGGATACTCTCGCGGGAAAACTCAGAGAGGTTCTCGATACGAACGTAGCTCGTGTAACTTGCCCTACCACAATGGGCGAACTTCGGATTTGGAACTTTGATGATTCCATTTCCCTGATCAATATCACAAACGAGATATCGATCGTGGGGGATTGTGATGAACATCTCGTCAAGCTGGGTACGATTAGAAAAATGAATAATGGACTTAATTCTATTTGGGCAAAATGTCCACTGTCTGCAGCAGCTAAGATAGCAGATGCTACAAGCTGAAAATCGGCTGGACGGTTTCGCGAGTACAACTGTTGGCGGCGAAACCGATACAGTGCTTCAAATGCTGGCGTGTCGGCCACGTCCGCACCACGTGTAATTTCCCGGAAAACAGGTCGGGAGCATGCTTTCGTTGCGGTGACAGAGATCACCAGATTGGTGCGTGTCAAGCCAGCCCTTGCTGCGTTTTATGTACAGACGCGGGTAAGAATAGCAACCATCGACTTGGCTCGGTCGACTGCTATGCGGTACAGAAGGAAATACCTGGAAGAGGACGCAAATTACAACAGAAATGACCCTGTTCTTACAGATCAATCTAAACAGAAGCAGGGAGGCTCAGGACCTCCTTGTCCATCATTCGGAGGAGATGGAGACTGCTGTTTGCGTAGTCTCCGAGCCGGCCCGCGCATCCAGCTCCCTCCAAAATTGGTTCTATAGCCATGACAAATTAGCGGCTATCTTTGTTAAATACGAGGATCACTGCACACCCCGTGGTCTTGGCGGCTCAAAGTCGGAGCGCCGTTATGATCCGATTTGGGGATATTTATGTTATATCGAGTTATATCACGCCAAACGTTGGCTTATACGACTATATTGGATTCTGTTAAGGTAAATCAACTTAACTCTCTATGTATGTATCGCCATCTA